CTTCAAATGCAATTGTGTACAACACTCTGATGGATTCATACTGTAAATACAACCATGTAGAAGCAGCTGAAGGGCTTTTTGTGGAGATGAGAGCCAAAGGGATTAAGCCTACTGTAGCTACCTTCAACATTCTAATGCATGCATACAGCAGAAGAATGCAACCCAAGATTGTAGAAAAGCTAATGGCAGAAATGAAAGATGTTGGCTTGAAGCCAAATGCCGAATCATATACTTGTCTAATCAGTGCATATGGTAAGCAAAAAACCCCGAGTGACCTGGCAGCTGCAGATGCATTCTTGAGGATGAAGGAAGTTGGTATAAAATCCACCTCACATTCTTATACAGCACTAATCCATGCATATTCAATTAATGGCTTGCATGAGAAAGCTTACATAGCATTTGAAAACATGAAAATGGAAGGTATTAAACCTTCTGTAGAAACCTACAATACTTTACTAGATGTGCTTAGGCGGGCAGGTGAAGCTCAAATACTTATGGAAATATGGAAGTTGATGAAGAATGACAAAACCGAACCGACACGGACAACGTTCAACATTCTTGTTGATGGTTTTGCTAAACAAGGTCTCTACATGGAGGCAAGAGGCATAATATCTGAGTTTGGAAAGCTTGGAATGCAACCAACAGTGGTGACATACAATATGCTGATAAATGCACATGCAAAGGGAGGGCAACTCTCAAAACTGCCACAGATATTCAAAGAGATGGCAGTTCTTAAATTACAACCAGATTCTGTAACTTACTCGACTATGATATTTGCCTTTGTCAGATTTCATGATTTTAAGCGGGCATTTCTTTATCACAAGCAGATGGTCAAGAATAAACAGACTATGGATGTCAGTTCTTATCAGACTCTTCTGGCCATTCTGGAGGCCAGAGCTGCTCGGAAAAACAAGGATTGGAGAGCCTTGCTTGCTCAGATTAAAAGTAAGACAGGTGTGAAAGTGATTAGGCAGAAAGATGAGTTTTGGAAGTACTACAAGAAAAGACATGTAAGAAAAAATAGTTCTGATGTAAGTGTACAGTAAGTTAAGGATACAATGCTCTGTAAGAATTGTAGGTTCAATTTTGGCACACTTTTATTTTCTCTAAAGAATCAATATTAGGAGTTTCTTGATATTAGCTGTGAAGAATATATGTCAATATATGCTGCCTCTTCAATCAGCAATATCTTTCACATTATATTTGTATGTTGACATTGAGTATCAACAACGATAAATAGTACAGATTAATGTAGTCAAAGACGTGTTATGTTTCGGATAATATTGATATTTAGATTATGGAAATCTTGGGTTGGCTCTCTCATCATACTCAAACTAAAAATTGTTAAATTTTGTCTGCAAGATCGTACATGGTCACTTTTAATTCTTTTAGAAAGCTTTTGCCTTGTGCCGCTTGCTTTGCGGGTATATGGTCAACCTAATGAAGGTTGGGGCGTTGGATACCTCAAATTCACTAACATGGCGTTAAATTGTGTTATACTTACCATTGTTTACCAACTTAGTTCATTTTTGTTCAACATAACAGACAAGAATAAAAAACATGTAATAAAAATAGAAACCTTAAACAAACATTCTATGACGTGATTGCCACACTACCTTTCTTTTTAAACATATGATCAGTGATTTCCGTGCATAGAAAAAAATGTGTTCTGAGAAAAGTAACTTAATAAATGTATCTGAATACTCCTCCCCTCTCCCCTCCGAAAAATATCTTCGTTTTTTGCGGCCAAACAAAGAAGATCCTGCCCGTTAATATGAAAAAAAACTAAAACATGTAGAAACAAAACTTCTAAAAAAGTATAACCATGGGTATAAGTTAAGGAAGTGTTGGTAATGAGTGGACATTTTTCACCTTAACTGGGCTGCTGATCCAATAATAAACAGTTTTATACGAAAATGTATGTTTGTTTCACTGAATTGCGGGACCTAAAATTAGGAAAGTGCTTGGCACCACAACCAGAAAAGAGACTAAAAAGTTGGGGATGAATCAATGGTTCATTCAAGTAAAAACATGTCAAATGCCATACATCCGTTGATTTGTGAAAATCCTTCCTCTTCCTTTTTTTGGGACAACATTCTTCATAACTGAAACATCAAGGCTGATGAAACACGAGGAAGTACTGTAGAAAGAAATGAATTAATGCTCGTGTTATTAATAAATTTAATCTACGTAAGAAAAAAAATAACCAATGGTTATATCAAAGAAAGGGGAAAACAAAAAAAAAAAAAATTATAAGACTTAGATAAGATGAATATGGTCTTTCAAATTCTAAGATTCTGAAAGGATTACTTAAATTTTGAAAAGAAAAAAAAAATCCTTACTACTGCACAGGTAAGGATAATTTGAATGGCTTTGGTGTCCTTCTAAATTGAATTGCCATCAAATCTACTTACCGAATTCCATACAAGTTGCTTCATACCTAACACAATTTATTCTTTTACAGCAGAACATAATTAAATGTGAGAAGAATTGAAAAACGTATAGCATCCATTAAAAGAAAAATTGTTAAACCATGAAGGTCAAACATAGGCTTAAACTGTGAAAGGGAACTTCTGTTCACCTGAGACGTGTATATAAAAGCCAACATGTATTCTTTCTAAACTTAAAACTGGCACTAGTACAAGAGATAAATAAGGTGCAAGTGCAAGAAAAACCTCGACAGAACTTTGATGAAATCATAAAATTGAAAAAAGTTCATCACCAACTTTGTCAAGCATATAAATAATCATTTCATTTTGGAGCAAGGGCAAGGGCTATATATTCAATCTCCTAATAAAATAATCTCAATTCATTCCAGAGCCACAGCTAATGTTAATGGACAATGTTGATACCCTAATCAATTTTTTCTTCCAATGGTTCATAGCTCCAGTACGCCCTCCATATTATAGGTGCTAGAAGCCGTTCAGTTTTCCAACCTAATGACTTGAGCTGCACATAACACAACGAGTGTTCTTAATATACCATTTAGGATATGAAATTCAGTAAGAGAAAGTGACATGCTATCAATTTTTAGTTTAATTTCGATGGCATATCAAGAAAAGGAAAAGACTAATATATGGTACTGTTAAAATAATACCGAAAATATGGAAGAAGCAAAATCAAATTCAACTAGAAGCTTAAAGAATTACCTTCTTAATAAATAATTCATATTGATTATCAACCCACTTTTGGCCATCTGAATGCAAGGATTTGCTTTTATGAGCATCCTTTGCCAAGACCAGAGCATGAAAGAATGACTTTAGGACATCAGCAGCATTCGAATCTTTATGCACAATAACATCAACGATTCCCTTCCTTTCCACAAGTATATACTTGGCTATATACAGAAACAACAAATAGTGATACAAGGTTTCAGACTACAGATGATATGGAGAAAATCAGAAGTAAAAGTAATGAGGCAAACTAAACCTTTTGCGTAGTAAGATGCCGCATAAAGCAAATGCTCCTTACTGTTAATGTCAAATGAAAAAAGAACTTGATCATTAAGCTCTGGTAATGACATTCCAAAGGCACTATTGCACAATAATCAAGTCTCAATCATGTATAGGCCGGTCAAGGGCAAATCAATGCTTTCGATCTTTCATAGATCACTCTATCGAACTTTGTTAGCTAGTGATAGCAACATAATAGTGCACTATATGACTAGGGTTATTATAAGTTAGAACAAAACATGGTGTACCATTTACCCTGAATGTCATTTAGATTTTGCTAATGGAAAAGAGACAAATAATGCAATGAAAAAGTGTTCAGGTAACATAACTGCAAAACTATAGCTGTGCATTAAGAACAAATCTATTTTCTAAATAAATTGGGAGTCAAACCAAATTTTTGCCACTCACATTTCCATGTTATCGAATGAAGAAATCCTCATGCCTAAACGTACTTTCTTATGCATATAATTAGAATTCCTTGAGCTCCATGAAATGAACCGTATGGGCAAAACATGCTCCTGTGAAGAGACCTGTTCAGGGGAGAGAACTGGAAAAAAGTTTAGAAGCAAGCATTAATATACATAGCAATAATTAAAATGGACTAATATGGATATTGAAATGATGGAAATTATGTTTCCCTGTACAAAATGCTAAATTTGGGAGATGATTGAGGAAGGGGTTAAAGACACACCAGACAGAGACCTCAATGTGAGATCCCCAACACAAAAACTAGACTATACCTTGTCTCAAGGTGATAAAAAATTGTTCTTAGATATGACCAAGTTTACGGTAAGAATTAAAAAGACGGAATAAATTCTCAAATATCAAAGACATGTTGTGGATACAAGCAATGAAGAATGGAAACTGACAATACCTTGGCCAGTCTCCATGAAATGATGCAAAAGAATAGAGCTTCTTTCAGGGTTTATTGAGTTCAATGCCAGGCATCGAACAGCTCGGTAATTTGCTGCATGGAAAAGAGACAAAATCTGGTGTTCATATATAATGTCGATGCTCAGATTTAGCTGCTGTATTTTGGGTTAAGGAGAGTATGCATGGAAAAAGGCTGCCATATACCTTCAGATTGAAATTATAAGCTCTCTAACATAACAAATAAAATGGGATAGTTTAAAATGAGCAGAAGTGTTTCAATTAATTGAGAAAGTAATGTAGCACAATCTGATTACAAGCAGCGAATACTCATTCCATCTCCATTCTAGCACAAACCACTAACACACTTTAACAAGATTTAAACATTAGTTACAATAAAAAGCAACTATTGTCTATCCAAGAAAGAAATAGATTACATATTTGTCCCAAACACACTGGTAAGAAAATGGATTAGTTACATCACTGTTTGCAAGCTAATAACATCTATCTAAAACCTCCTTTTACTACTGGAAATGGTAAATTATAACCAAGGATTCCCTCATATTTTTTCTTGTAGTTTGTACAACCAAAGCAGTATTGCAGAGATAGGTTTATACCTAATACCAAACTGAAGTTCACAATTCTACAATGCAAAGGATATGCATGAAACAAATTATAATTTAGAGGCTTACCATACATGTGAAACACTGTCAAAGATAGAAATGAAAACCATATGGCCAGTGGGTATCCAATGGTAATGCGAGCAACAAGCATACCCATGGCCATGCCAATCATTGTGGCCACAGTTTCTTGACTTCCTTCCTATAGGTAAATCTTAATAAGTCAAAATATACTATCTAAAGAATATGTCCAACTGAACGAAGACATAATTATCAGCTAATAATCTAAACTTTCATAATAAATGTTACTTGTACCTTAGCAGATATATCAGCAGCATTATCCTGAAGAGCAAAATGCTGAGTTAAAGCTGCTCTAGTGGCTCCACTAGCAACACCAGCTATTTCAAAATCATATTTGGAGAGAAAATATACAAAAAATGGAATTAGTAACTAACAAAATGTCAACCAGCAAATAAAAGAGAAAAATGTCTTAATCTTGGATAACAACATATTTTTCTACATAACATCTTTTTTAATTAGGAAACGACAGATCACACAATGTCACACTAGCTTATCTTTCTTACATGGAAAAAGAAGAGGGAACAAACCTACAGCCACCAACTAACTTTAAATCGCATTAGTGATTAGTGAATTAGTGAATTAGTTTTGAACTCCAGCAATGTAGGAACTTACTGAAAGATCTTGAGATGCTTCCCAAGCAAACAACAAACACAAAAGCTGATGGAAACAATGGAGAAATGAGGTCCATTAACATTCCTGTAAATAATGAAAAAGTCTTAACAAATCATGCGATATACAAATATGAAAGATCAAATTTAACAGAAAGCAGCCTCTTGGAAAGATACACTTGTGAGCTACTATTAATTTTTAGTTTAACAAAGCAAAGATAAAGAAATTTAGACATTAGTAGTAAAGTAAAGTATGCTTCATGTAGAATTTCTCCTCGGTTATAGTCTCCATATACTATCAATATACTCACAAGAAATGCATATCCAACTCTGTGTATGTGAAATCAAAGATATAATGAATGCAAATCTGCAGCAATATTCATATTAGTTGAGAACATAAAAAATTACATCCGACAGGGTCAACCAATTTGGAAGACACTGCTAATGTATAACCAGGACCATGTTCACATAAAACAGCGTTCCATTATGAAAAAGTAGTAGTTCTAATATAAGTTTTGAAGATAAAAAACAAAGCTAAGCTCAAATTGTTTCCTTAGAAGACAATCTCTTTAGTTCTGTGTTTTGATTTGTCAAATAAAATTGTAGCAATTACAAGAAATTAGGGAAGTCTGTCCTCCTTCACCATCCAAGGAGAAGAGACTGACTCCATTCTGACAACTGCCATATCCTAAAATCTAAAAGTTTCCATTTAAATATTGGGCAATGTATAACTATGCCTACTAGATATATAGCCTAATTGTGATGTGAGTATTTAGATTAGTACCCCACACATGATAAATCTCATGCACTCTGACACTATCAAATATGGATTGGGGTTAAATTTAAAAGTATTAGTTGTAACTGGTAACGGGCAATGTTATCTGTGGGCAGGTGGAGAATGAATCATGCATGAACCTCAACTTTCAATCTATCTGCAAACCAATTAAAACATTCAAGTAACTTTTGTGCTCAAATGATTTAAGGGAAGTTTACTATTGGTTGACAAATTTATCCATACTTCTGCTCCCAACCCTTCAATTATTCCCAATCTCAATTCTTGAATCAACATACTAATAAACCAGGACTCCCGTATGTAAAACTATTTTGTGCTTATGCCTATACTACAGAGAGAGAGAGAGAGAGAGAGAGAGAGAGAGAGATTGCATGTAGAAAATGCCTGCACAAATTTTTTTTCACATTTTTTTAAAAGATAAATGTGAAAGAATCTACCAAGGTCATTCATAAAATCTGCAACCAAACGCCACATTTTTGCATTGCTATCAAGATTTGATCCCTGCAGCATATAGGATAAATATAAACATACCTAAAAAGAATGGACTCAGAATCATTCAAAAAGAGAGAACCAGAATAAGCCAATCGGTTGGTCCACATAAAGCTAGTACCACACATTTCAGTTCAAAATTAATAAGGACAGATGAACACGCTTGCATGGGAAACGCATACCTGGTAAAAAGTGAACAAGATTCCTCCAAGCATACCTGTTAGATCCCTCAAAAACCACTGGAAACAGTTTCAAAGTTCAATATCCTACTGTCAATGCATAAGAAATTGCAGCCTAAGAAACAGAGAAGATTAAACGTACCAAAACAAGATAAAGTTAACACAAAAGGCCTGAACTCACAAGCCTCATCTAACAAACTAGGTTTCAATCATTAAAAAATAGAAAATATAACATCTACTACCTGAAAAGTAGCACCAATGACAGTAGCTGATTTTTCACCAACCCCAATAGCACTCAGGAGAGCCTGAAAGGGATTTCATTGACCACTCATGTACTTATGTCTTTTATGACAAACACTATAAATAATCAGTTAAACAGGGCCTTACCTGGGTAGAAAGCATGGTCCTTATGTACGTTGAAAGGCCCTGCCACAGTGAATCCAGGATTAACTCAAGAACATGATTTTGATATAACGATAGTGTTTAATTCCTATGCAATGTAAGTAAAAACTGTTTTACACTATCAACCTACAAAAATTCATGGTAATACGTTAAGGTGATTTGTTAAAGTCTACAAACTCGTCATACACCATAATTTGTGATCAGATAATTAAAATCATTCACATTTTGCACCTCAAAACATAACTGCTTCTCATTTGGTATTACCTGCAATGAGTCCCATATTTGAAAAGGAACATAATCTGCAGTCACACTGCTTGGAAAACCCTGTATGTTACCAGCAACAAGGAAAAAGATAAACCTTTTTCAACAATGATGAACTTAAAGAACACCCACATGATGAAATAGCAGTGGCAAACAAAATTTCAGTTCCTTTTCATTTCTAAGAGAACATGTGGAGTAAAATAGAAGCTTGCCTCAGGGACAAAAGCTTGAAGTAAGCGTCTCCAAACATGGCTAAATCGGGCACCAGATCTGTAAATAAGGAGAAAGAGAAAGGGTGAAAGAGAGAGAGAGGCTGTTGAAGATGGTGATTGGTGGTGATGGGAAAAGGGAAGTACCTTGTAATGGTGACAGAGGAAGAAGAAGCCTTGATGGTGAAAGTCTTAGAGAGCTTTGTGGGTGATGAACCGTTCCATTCTTCTATAGTTATGGTCTTATTAGACACGGATGAAGATGCTTCCATGCCCAGAAAAAGGAGTTGAATTGCCACCAAAACCTTAATCACTTCGCAGTTCGCAGGTTGTTTGTGGAAACTTAAAACTCAACTCACGAAGGGACTTTGACCCAATTACAACTTTTTTTATTTTTAAATTACACCTAATTGGCATTAGATTTATTTTATTTTCTTCTAAGATCTAATGGATTCTTACGCGAAATTAATTTATCTAAGGATAGACTTCTAATTAATAATCTGAGTGCGGTCAAATATGTGTTTTGAATTATATATCAAATTTTAGTTCAATCTAAACAGTAAATTAATATTGAATTGAAGGGTTACTAAGATAATTTAATGATAAAAATAAAATGATAATCAAGTTTCTCAAAAATATGAAATTAATTCTTATAACATAGACTTCAGATTAATATTTCGAAATTTAGAAGTGAAGTAATAATAAGTATTAGAAATCATGTATCAAAATATATAGGTTTAATCATTCACTAAGTCCCTATTTTCACATGGAATCTCAATTTCGTCTCTTTCTTTCTGAAAATATCAATTGGGTCCCAATTTTATGAAAATTGCAACAAATCGATCCTTTCCGTTAATTTGGCTGGACTTCGTTAAAAAAATTGATGAGTTAATGCTGAGATGACGAACGAGCGCTCGTCCATCAGCGAACGAACGCTCGTCCAGCAGCGAACGAACGCTCGTCCACCAGAGAACGAACGCTCGTCGACCTCTTACTGCTGGACAACCGTTCGTTCCACACTGGACGAGCGTTCGTTCGGTGGTCGACGAGCGTTCGTTCGCTGGTGGACGAGCGCTTGTTCGTCATCTCAGCATTCACTCATCAATTTTTTTAACGCCGTCCAGCCAAATTAACGGAAAGGATCGATTTGTTGCAATTTTCATAAAATTGGGACCCAATTGATATTTTCAGAAAGAAAGGGACGAAATTGAGATTCCATGCGAAAATAGGGACTTAGTGAATGATTAAACCAAATATATATATCAAACCAAACTTAACTTTATCCTCCATTTACTATTTACACCTAATACCACACCTAACACTTACTTAACTCTATCCTTCATTTACTTTTCAGACCTAATACCACACTTAACAAAATGTGTATTTTATTGTAGCATTATACTTATTTTATTGTAACATTATACATATTTTATTATAACATTATACGTTTTTTTACTGTATCATAAAAATTTATCTATTTTTAAAGGTTTTTACATTAAACACTCTAATTTCTTCAAAATAACAACACTTGAGGGACAATCCAACTAATTAAGGTCAGGAGTGCATCTCCGATAGAAGGGATGAGTGTACCGATGCTCACTAGAGGCAGATAGATCAACCAAACCCAAGGTCCAACTACAAACTTTCCAAGTACAACAACTTAAATATATTCTATTAGAGCTGAAATTTTCGCAATTGTTAACACTAAACTTGCCCTCCAATTAATCATTAAGGGATTTAAATGCTATTATATATTGTTACTTATTATACTATCAAAAGTTGATAGGACATAAATTTGAATGATGCATCGTTGACATAAGAGTTATGTGATCCAACGAGTTATCATGAATAATAAAAGCAATGTGTAGAACTTACGTAAATATTTTTATCTAATAAAAACATTCCTTCCGAAAGTCGGGGTTTGTTGCATGTATTAGCTCTAGACTTACTATGATGATTCAAGCAGTAGATACCCTAAAAAATAAAATATAACTAATTTAATGAGTCATTCATAGTTTAAAAGTTTAAATTAGTACATATTTACACATTCATGACTTATTCTTTGAATAAGTTGTTAGACAACTACTACCATGATAAGGCTTGCCTTATGTTAAGTTAATATACAAAAGTTAAACTTATACAAATAATACACTTTTTCTTAGTAAACATATATCTATGTTTAAATTTAGAGATCAAGTTTTAATGAGATTTTTTAGGAATCTTTAAAAAAATGGTATCTCCTTGTTTCCTAAATCTCATAATTTATTTCCACGAGAAAGTATTTTTTTCCTCAAATAATCAAAATGCATAAAATCAAGAAAATGGAAAACATATTTAAACAATGAATTTTGGATTGATTTTTTTTTCTCTCCACCACATAATAATATAATAAACTTGTCCATCAAATTTCATTTACATTGCCATAATACTAACTTTTGATGAATTGGTTGAGAAGAATGTTAAGAGATAGGAAGACATTCTGAAAATGTTTTCTTAATGTCTTGTGTTTGACGTATCCACACAAGCAACATAGTTACTTATGGAAAAGTAGCATAACACCTAACCTAGTACCAAAAGGTTATACACCTACGTGAAAGTTAATGCTCTAAGTAACGAATCTTTTTCAAAAAAACCTATATAAAGAGAAACACATGAAGAGAAGACAACAATAATCAAGATTTATTATTGCATATACACAGTCAAAACTATCTTTCGCTTGCATCATCTAAAACTCTCTTTGAAAAAAAATAATCTTTGTTACAAGTTTTCAAATATTCTTTGTATTAAAAAAATATCCTCTCTGCGAGAATCATTATATGTACTTATTTTTCATAAAAACACGTTATTTTTGTAGAATAAGAAGTGATTCAAAATACTTGTATGTTTAACTAAAAGAAGTTAAATCATATAGTCAGTTGGACAATTTGATACCAAGAGTGGTTATACTCGTTGTAAACACCATAAGTGATTAAACTCGTTGTAAATTTTTTAACGATTAGTGGAACCTCTTGAGAATGCTTAAAGGAGAACTGTACACAGATTAAAGTGAATCAGTATAAAAACAAGTTTTCTTTTTTGTTATCATTTTAAAAGTTTTCTAAATGCTTCTTAAAATCCTTAATTGTTCAACACTATTTGCAAATCATCTAATCCTTGTAAATAGCATCTAACACTAAATTGTGAATTTTTTTTTAAAACTCTATTCAAACTTCCTTTAATAGAGTTTATGTAATTTCAATTTTTTAATAATATAGCTAATAGTTTTTCTAATTTTTTTATTTTTTTTTAAATTCTTATACAATCATATTTTTTATGTATTTTTTATTTGGAAATAGTTGTTTATAATTTAATTAATGAATCATTTTTTATTTACTTATATTTTAAAAAAATTATTGTTTTTTTTAAATTTACATAAAATTATTTTTATTTTGAAATTATTAGAAAATTTAATTATTAAATTTATATTTACAAAATTTATTATAAACATAAAAAAATTGAAAAATATAATAAAAAATATTTTAAAGTTTAAAAATAAGTTCATATAAAAATTTAAAAAAAAAACATAAAAACTATAATCTTTAAAATGTGAAAAAGTTATAAAAATTAAAAGAAAGAAATCATATATTATGATACAAAATCTAAAATAAAAAACAGAACAAAACGCTAGAAGGAGGGCTTGAACCTCCGACCTTGTGGTTAACAGCCACACGCTCTAACCAACTGAGCTATTCCAGCTTACATTATGAGCAAATCTGATTATTGTTTATAATTTAATTTAAATAAATAAGGACATGGAAAAGAGGAGAGAGCTTTCTCCTCCCTAACCCTGCAATTCTGATCAAACCGAAGAACTATGATGGTAGATGAAAAATTAAGGATGAGAAAATTAGGGCGGGATAATTTATCTATACTATTTGGTCATTCTCTATCACAATTTTCTCAACTCGCGCCCTGTTGAAAGCTTGCCGCCGTCGAAAGCTTTTCCGCATTCTGCCGTCGCCGAACTGTCAAAGGCTCTACCACCATTGTCGAAGGTTCGTCGCCGTCGAAGGTTTGTCTCTCTCCCTTTTCAGTAGAAAAGGTGGTACCTTTTTTGATGGAATTTTGATGGGTGTCTCTGTTGTTTTATTTGTGTGGAGTGGGAGAGACTAGGGTTCTTTTGTTTTTTTTGCTGTTCGTGTGGTAAGTTGTGATATGTTGCAGTGTATGGACCCATTTGTGCTGTTTTCTTAATGTTTGCTGTTGAAAAATTGGTTTTTTGTCGTGATTCTAGGTTGTTTCTCCTTGTTTCCTTTGGCTCGTGGGTTAAGATTAAGAAACTCTTTGAAGATTAAGGTTCTAAATTGTGGTCGCAGAGTCTATTTTTGTTGAGTTCTTGGTATTGCAGGAAATTGCAGCTACAGTTGTGGTTGTGGACTGTTTTTTTAAAATCTTGTTCAAGGTTTAAAAGATCTACAGACTCTTTCAAGGTTTCAAAAATGATTTGCAGTTTCAATTGTGCCACAATTTCAAGGCTTTTTGGGTCTCCAGTTATAAATGGGGCCGCATTTGTTGTATTTATTTAATTTTCGGTAATGTCATGGATTGTGACAAAACCATGACTGTAGTTGCAATTTAGAACCTTGGACTTATGGTTTAGTTTCAAGTGAGGAGAGGAACTGGAGAAAATAAAAGCATCATGTTTTGAGAAGAGAACTCTTAATTGGAGGGGAGGTATTTGAGGTCCTCATTTTCCCTTCCCTCTAAACCTTTGAAGCAAACAACAAATTTTATTCAAATCCCTCTCTCCTTCCTTGTTTTTACATCTGTGTTGTACGAGGATTGGATCCCATGAACTGTAGTTTAAGTCATTTATGGAGAATATTGTTAAAATCTAAGGAAAAAAGATAAAAATGCTATCTTTGTATTGATTTCTTGATTGGTAAATTGGAATGAAGCTATTGGTGTTTTAAGGAAAAAATGTAAATACTTCAGTAACTGTGTTGATCTTTAACCCAAACCTATATTATGCTAATTACTAAATTGAAACTTTAATTTTGATCAGAGAACACCAAAAGCACTAAGGGATTTCTATCTACGTTTTGTCCTTGCCATTATACTTACTTTATCTGTTAATATTGGGTTTTCGTTAAATTTCCTTTTTAAGTATTTGGTTGAGGTAAATTTTCAAGTATCTCACCTATCCCCATCTTTGTTAGCAGCAGCACTACAGCAGAGCTCAGCGCTGAAACACTGGAGGAGCAGGCTTCAGTATTGGAGAAAGAACTGAGCTTGAAAGGAAGGGAAACTCTTGATGTGTTGAAAGAATTGGCTGGACCGTGAGCTGTATACTGCACTATAAAAATAGTTCACTGAACTGAAAAATAGTTCAGTTCCGTTATTCTGTACTATTTTTTAGTTCAGTGTAGTTTTCCTAAACTGGTTTATAGTTAACTATAAACTTTTATAGTGCAGTACACTATAGGACAGTTTGCCCACCCCTAGAGAAAATTAAGAAAAGAGTAGTGATGATGACGATTGGATGAATGAAGAAGAATGGGAAAAAGAGTTGCGTCCTTTGTTCTTCCCTACAGAGCCTTATTCTTCTCCTCCACCACTGAAACCCCCAGCCTTTACTCCTTCCTCCAGCCCTCAGTCTTTACCCTCACCATAAACAAGCAGCAACCCATTTCAGAAGGCTCCCCAAAGCCACCAACTTTCCTCTCACCTTCCCAACACTCCACTCTCGAAACCACCCTCCACAAGTCCCTCCTAAGCAGCAACACTGATGAGGCATGGAAGTCCTTCAAGGCACTCACCACCCACCAAGCCTTCCCTCCCAAACCCCTCACCAATTCCCTTCTCTCTCACCTCTCCTCCCTTGGTGACACCCTCAATCTCAAGAGGGCATTTGCCTCTGCTCTCTTTCTCATGGAGAAGAACCCCTTGTTGCTCCAACATGACACCCTCCACCACATGCTCCTCTCCATGAAGGCTGCCAACACTGCAGCCCCTGCATTTGCCCTTGTCAGGTCCATGCTCAGGTTCAGGTTCTTTGTTCCTTTTCATGTTTGGGGGCCTGTGCTTGTTGAGATCAGTAGGAACTGTGGTAACCTTGCTGCTTTCTTGAGGCTCTTTGAGGAGAATTGTAGGGTAGCTCTTGAGGAGAGAGTTGAGTTCATGAAGCCTGATGTTGGTGCTTGCAATGCAGCACTGGAAGGTTGCTGCTTTGAGCTTGAGTCTGTAAGTGATGCTGAGAGGATTGTGGAGACAATGTCAAGTCTAGGGGTTAGGCCTGATGAGTTCAGTTTTGGGTTTCTGGGGTATTTGTATGCACTCAAGGGATTGGAAGAGAGGATTAGGGAGTTAGAAGTTTTGATGGATGGGTTTGGCTGTTTGAACAAGAAGGGTTTTTATTGTAATTTGATTAAGGGTTACGTTAAGTCTGAGAATTTGGCTTCTGTGGAGGCAACTATTGTTAGATTTCTGAATGATGGATGTGGAAAGGATTGGGGTTTTGGTGTTGAAACTTTTTGTGAAGTGATTAAGGTTTATTTTCAGAAGGGAAATATCAAGGGGTTGGCTAATTTGATTGTTAAAGCTCAAAAGATAGAGGGTTCAAATATTGTGGTTGATAGGTCTATAGGGTATGGAATTGTTAATGCGTGTGTTAGTATTGGACTATCTGATAAAGCACATAGTATTCTTGATGAGATGAATGTTCAGGGGGCCTCTGTGGGTCTTGGGGTCTATATACCTATCTTGAAGGCTTACTGTAAAGAAAATAGAACTGCTGAGGCTACTCAATTGGTGATGGAGATTAGTAATTCCGGTCTTCAGTTGGATGTGGGAACCTATGATGCTTTGATAGAAGCATCCATGTGCAGCCAAGATTTTCAGTCAGCGTTTTCACTGTTTAGGGACATGAGAGAGGCAAGGATTCCTGACTTGAAAGGGAGTTACTTAACTATAATGACAGGTTTGATGGAAAAACATCGGCCTGAGTTGATGGCAGCTTTCTTGGATGAGGTGGTTGAAGATCCTAGGATTGATGTAGGTACTCATGATTGGAATTCTATCATCCATGCTTTCTGTAAAGCTGGGAGACTTGACGATGCAAGAAGAACTTTTAGAAGGATGACGTTCCTGCAGTTTGAGCCAAACGATCAGACATACTTGTCTATGATTAATGGATATGTCTTGGCTGAGAAATATTTTCTCGTGCTGATGTTGTGGAACGAGGTTAAGAGGAAGCTATCCATGGATGGGCAGAAGGGGATCAAGTTTGACCATAATTTGGTTGATGCGTTCCTTTATGCTATGGTCAAGGGTGGTTTCTTTGATGCTGTTATGCAAGTTGTGGAGAAAGCTAATGAGATGAAAATATTTGTTGATAAGTGGAGATACAAGCAAGCATTCATGGAGACCCATAAAAAGCTCAGGGTGGCAAAGTTAAGGAAAAGAAATTTTAAAAAAATGGAAGCACTTATTGCTTTCAAGAACTGGGCTGGCTTAAATGCCTGAACCTTTTACAGTGGCTACTTCATATCATAGGGATTAAACCATCATGTCTGAAAGAAACAATTCAAAATGAAGGCTGAGGATGGTTCAATATTGCAGATTCTTTCAATAAGCGAGCTTCAATTCCACCAACTTAGGAGCACTTCAAATTTTGATTTTCTTGAATGATACACTTAGTTTAGGCTTGGAGGGTTCGGCTCAACAAGGTTATTTTCTCCTATTTTTTTGCCTTGATGCTACAGAAAGCAATTATTTGACACTGTCACTGAGTTTTTATTCAGCTAATTCTTTCATTTTGGGCTAAATGTATTGATTTCTTCTTCCCTTTTGTTCTCTGCCGTCCCCCATTTTTGGTGGTTGATTGCTGTCTTCACTTGTCTTCTTGTACTTGTGACTGGAAATTTAAACACACTGAATCAAGGAACGGCTTACACTTCTTGATAACTATGTATGAAGTAACTTGTAAACTATGGCAGAAAGTAATAGCATCACACATAGTACAGATCAATTCTTTTCCCTATTTTGTACTTCTAGTGAGTTGTTTATAGAAAGTCATTATCTTTATCTGAACCAAATTAGAGTTAAGCACTATAAATGAACATGATTTGAAGCAGGAGATTGTTCATCCCCTGGACGTGTATGTTCAGGTTTAATATTTTTATTTAGCCTAGATTTTTTTTTCTTCAATAGCTCAAGACTGTGGGTAGTAATTGAGACTTGATTTGCAGTGTACTATATCAGTTGCAGTTAGTGAGGGCAAACGTTTTTCATCACAACATTCTGAGTTAATTACTTTACATGACATTATAAATAAAATAACAAGAGGTTTTATGTTTTAGTAAACTAAACAGATGATTTGCCTTAATTTACCAAGTTTAAACTGAATGAATTGAATAGGATTTTAAGGAGGGAACAAGATGATTTTGATTGTTTTTGGAGAAAATAATTAATTTACTCAAAAGTTCTATCTGAAAGTGTTTGTTTATAAGCTGTTGGAAATACAAAATAAGCCAAGCTTTCACTGAGTTATTCACATTCCATATAATATAGACATTCCTTGTTCATAAATGTTGAATACTTGGCATGCCTTGCAGATTAGGACACATGACAACTCAAGACTCAAATCTGTCATTTTAGTATGTGATGTGTGCCAGTTTGACATTGCACGAGGCAAGGGCATCTCTGTTTTTGCAGGTTCCATTCTTTGTGCTGCTTGTTGCTGCAATGATGGCGTGGAAGTAAAACACCCCACTGGTGTTAAAATATCATAGTCTAACAATTGGTTTACTCCTATTCTTTGTGCCCTCTTTCTTGTGCTTCTAGGATGTTGAAGGATGAAGTAACCTGTAACTTAAGGCACAAATTTATACATCACACATGGTAGATATAATTTTTTTCCTCTTTTTGTACTTCGAGTGAGTTGTTTGAAGAAAATCAATATCTTTAATAACTCCTCACTAAATAAGTTCAATACGAAAGTAAATATAATAAAATGAAGTTAGGAAGAACTCATCGAGTAAAATAAATTTTGATAATAAAAATAAATAAATATTCATAATTTTTTTATTCAAGCATATTTACCACAAAAGCATTATAATGATTATCTCCGAACATGATTCTTATACCAACTATTGTTATGTTTAAATAAATTTCTCCGTAAAATTTTTGAAAGAAAACATCGAAAAATTAAAAAAACTTTCTGGTACACTAAAATGAACTTATGTAAAAATTAAAATAATTTTTAAGAAACCCATATAAAAATTTAAAAATAAGGTTATTCAAGTTATCTGTAGCTTCTAATTTTTTTTTTTGTTTTTTTTCCTCATATTTTTTCTATATAAAGTTTTTACGAGTAGATTTATAGAACAGCTTTCTATTTAACATTAAATTTTAATAATAAAAAGAAAAGAGACAACATTCTCTTCTTCATAAAAGGAGTCAAATACAAATGAAAATAGAAGAAAAAAAAAAACCTTAAGTCTTGTGACCCAAATACATACAAATGCTTTTTTTTTTTAAACCAAAATGAAAAAGATGAAGACTTTATCATTAACTCCATCAGAAAAGAGCTTGGAAACAGAAAATTGAACCTGCTTGCTAGAAGAGATGACAACAGATGCACTCTCAAGCTAAGTCTATGTGCAATAGCATGGGCAATTTCCTTAGTGCAAGCTATCACAATTGTTACCTTTCCTTCAAATCTCTTACCTTTTCCATTTCTTCTTTCTACGCAATCAACCCAACTCAGCTAAAAGAAAGAGCCTTTTTTGTGTGTTTGATTGAGAAATGACAAAAAGGAAAGAAGGAAGATCAACCATTTGAGGAGATGAATGAGAAAAAACAACTCTGATTAGGGACGAGTAAGCAATTTTCAAAACAATAGCACACCTCATCCTTTCAACAAGTTGCAGATCACAAATTTCAGCCACTTATTAAAAACTTAATGTATCTGACAGATAAAATAAGTGGTCCACGTGTGCGGTAGTTTATATTTGTTAACTCAACCTTAGGTGTTAAAACATTTTTTATTAGTGAAAGTGGCATCTTTGGTTTTTGCTCCCACGATTTCTCTTGCAAACTATGTTCCTGTGAAATATCTTTCCCTCAGATTAAAACCACCCTTTTGAATTTCAACAAACCAATTAATATCATTGAAGGCAAGTGAACTCTAATCTCATCTACTTCTTAGAAAAGTCGTAGTTGCCTTTCATATTCTATAATTTGTCACTATCTTTTTTGTTTTTTCTACTATGTGACTTTTGCAACAATAATATAGTATAATTTTGTAACTACATATATAGGATGAGGTGTAATTAATCAAAGAATCATACTCAAACAGCTACCTGAAATGGGAGAATCCATGTTTGTCTCCTTGGCCTTTCTAATGCTTTGTACCGTGCTCCAAAGGGTGTGGTCACATGAAGATCAGCCTCTTTCAAAAGTTGCTGTTCATAAGGCAACAGTGTCACTTCTTGACCTTGCTTACATCAAAGCATCACCAGCTATTCTTGGACAAGAAGTAAGTTTTGACACTGTAAATTCATCAGCAGTGTCACTTGTAAACTCTCGATGATAACCAACTTGTTTTAGTTTCCATATTATTGCTATATTGCATATTGCCTCATTGCTGATGTAAGTTTTACTGGTTTCTTTTATAGGGGAAAACTGCTGAGTGGATAACCCTGGAGTACAGTTCTCCAATTCCATCCATTGATGATTGGATTGGAGTATTCTCTCCTGCAAACTTTAGGTAACATTCAAAGTAGATGCCTATCTAAAATCTTGCCCTGTAACCTATAAAGGTTCTATTTGATTGTTTCGGTTAGATACACTACATTTTATGTTAATTAGGAAAACTTAGACTTTTGAAATTGTTTGATATCGGTAGATATTGTTTTTTAACAATATCTTTTATTTATTATATTTATGTTTGGTTGTCATATATACTTGTATCATTCTTTATTATAACTATATTACTCTATGTGTATTTTAGATACATGGAAGATTAATCCTATACCTAGTTTTACTATATTCAATAGTTTCAATCAAATTCTTGCCTAGTACAACCAAACCTGGTTCCTGAGTTTTAGTTGATTGCTCTTGTTTTGTGCATTTCAGTGCTTCCACATGTCCAAAAGAAAACCGTAGAGTCTATCCACCACTACTGTGTTCTGCGCCCATTAAGGTACCACTGACCTGTCCTATGTTTAGTAATGACATCACCACAACTGTTTTTTTTTTTTTTTTTTTCTGTAGCTTTTCTTGAAGCTAGGGAAATTTATCAAAGAAAATGTAGAAGTGAAGGTCTAATGAATGTTTACCCCATTGTGCAGTATCAATATGCAAATTACTCAAGCCCCTTATACATAGTACATGGAAAAGGGTTTCTGAAGCTTCGGTTGATCAATCAGAGATCAGATTTCTCATTTGCACTATTTTCTGGTGGCTTGTCAAATGTAGGCCATCATTAGTTTGAACTTTCTTGATCAAGTGGATGTTAATATTCCATGATTTTTATTCTTCTACAAATCAAGTTGCATTGAAAAATCATTTCGGAGTAGATTTGGTCCATGAGAATATTTCCATATTTGTTTTTCTTTTTTGAACAGTGAATAGAAGTTAGCAAATTCCTTGAAAGGCTACTTCAAGGATGAGTAGAAATTATCATTTTTATTTGTTTCCCTTTTCAGTATGCATTTTTTGTCCACTTCTGCTCTGCTTTTCTATCAGTCATATTTTCCTTCAGATACTGTGGAAGTCTTCGCATTATCTCTTCTAAGATTTTTCTATTCTCATTCTATCTATGTGTACATGAATTGTAAAGATTAGCTCCTCTTATGCTTTCATTTCACACCTGATATGCTTTCTATATAGACTAATGGAATATGTAAACAGAATGTATGAAAGTTTCCATTCCCTTGTTCAAGAAATGAACAGAATGGTAAGGAGACTACTAGACAGCAAGTTGGTTCCACCCCCAAATTAGGACAGAAGAAAAGCAGAGGTATTATAGATACGAACAATGGAAACCAATAGTAGTTTTAATGTACATTCATAGAACAGCAACCAAATACACAACACAGACAGCTCATGCTCAAAGTTTCACAAACATATACATAAAAAATACCAACTCGCTCACCTGATTTTCCTCATTTGCATACTGGTATTATGGATGACACACATTTCTTTTGGATTTACTTATGTTTACATTACAATCCTAATTAGTGGAGCTATAATGTTGGCCTAGAGGTAAAAGTTGGAAGGGAGGGTGGAAGAGGTTGTAGGTTCAACTTTCCAACTAACATTTGCGAGATATAAGACTGATTTGAAGGATTTGAAAGAGAGGGTAGGAGAGGTTGTGGGTTTAACTCTCCCACTAACAAAAACTAACAACTAACATTTGCCAGTAAAAAGAAATCCTAATTAGTAATATCAATTACATTGCCCAATTCTACATATTTAGTAACAATTTTATGTCTCTCCTAAACTCCTAGTTTGCTCATCAATTATGAAATGACTAAATGCATTTTCTCATTCGTTTTTATTTACCTCATGACAGCCAAAGCTTGTGGCAGTGTCAAATAAAATAGCTTTTGCTAATCCAAATGCTCCAGTTTACCCTCGCCTTGCACTAGGAAAGTCATGGAATGAGGTTAGATCTTATTCTCTAGTCCTAGATTGCATAAAACTTACACAGTTGAAATTTTCCTATGTTAGCAAATGTTATGTGAACTTTTGAAGGAAAAAAGCATACAGCATGCTGCTACTATCTCTTTTAGTTTTCCTTTAAATTACATTTTTGTTACATTTGCTGTTTTTCATTAGAAGGTTTCTTTCATTTTATCAAAATAAAACAGTATCATTTTGATCTTTAAATCAGATGAGTGTAACATGGACAAGTGGATACGGGATCAGTGATGCTGAACCTTTTGTTCAATGGGGTCCAAAAGGAGGGGATCATATGCATTCACCTGCTGAGACACTGACTTTCACTAGCGATAGCATGTGTGGTATGGGAACTCATCAACCAGTAAATTTATGCACTTCATCATTCATTTTGATGGATTTTCTTTTTCAAAAAGGTTGTTCATTGCACACTATAATTATCTATTTCTGAACAGGTTCACCAGCAAGAACAGTGGGATGGCGTGACCCTGGATACATACACACAAGTCATCTAAAAGAACTGTGGCCCAATAGATTGTATGTTATTTCTAGATTAGGCCTAGTTTTAAGCACTTTTCAATTTTATTTTTCCCTTGGAAAGGTGTACGGCATATCCATGATTCTGATATTCAGATTTTGTTTTACCTTAAAGTACATTACCTTTTCAATAATTTTTTGAGAGCTTCACTCTGAAGCCATCAATTTTTATTTGATACTGTTATCTATTATGGTCGAACACCACCTAGTAGATTCTTGTTATCTTGTTGCATTGTCACTATATGCCATATATTTCAGCTTGATTTAGATCTGTTAGCCAATGAAAAATAATTACTATTCTTTTGTTATTGAGCTCCAAACTAGGTAAACCCTATTGTGTTGAACCGTATTTTCTACTTAAATTATGTTTGCTGTAGTGAAGTCATGACAATTTAATTGTGCTTTCTGCTGATTGTGCAGATATGAGTACAAGATAGGACACAAATTAAACAATGGTACATTTATCTGGAGCGGAAACTATCAGTTCAGAGCACCTCCTTTTCCTGGACAGAAGTCCTTACAACGTGTTCTCATATTTGGAGATATGGGAAAGGTTTGAACTGTTACAAAAAGTATGCATTCATATATTCGATGGATGGCATCTGTCATGTTTTTCAGTGACGTTGGTCCTATATATATGATAATTTGATGTCTAAAATTGTGATATATGCTCATACTCAGTATATTATATCAATATCTTGCTTGGACATTCAAAATTCTAGTCTATGGTATTTAGCCAAAGAATATACTATAGAATAAATGAATACTTATGAGAAGACTTGTTTCGTTACTCATTCGTCATGAGGCAGCCATAGTTTCATGTGTTCTACATATAAAGTGGATATAATTGTTTAAGTGTAAGATGTAGTTGTTAGTAATACAATGGTGAAGAGGATTATTCTTAGCCTCAATGAATTTTGAATCTAACTAGAGTTTGGAAGTCACTTATAATATCAATAATATTATATATGAGATTTAGAGAATGATATTATCAAGGATTGACAACACTTGAAGAATTGGAAAATACAAATTATAACCTTTAGAACTGATAATAGATGGGAAGACTTAAAAATAGGCACCACAAACAATGAGGTTTGATAATCCTTGAAGATCGCCACAAGCCTTGTATTGGGTCTTAGGCTTCTATTTGATCTTGAATATGACTTCATGATTATTAAAAGTTTCATCATTCTCAATGATCATCATTCCCCTCTTCAAAAGGCTTTGTCCTCAAATATGATAAATCATCACCCATATCAAAAGAAGAGAGATCAACCACACTAAAAGTATTACTTACACCATACTTACCCTGCAAATCTAGTTTGTAGGCATTATCATTTATCTTGGCCAATACTTGAAAAGGACCATCCACTCTTGGCACATGCTTAGACTTCTTTTGTGTTGGGAATCACTCTTTTCTGAAATGCACTCATACCTAGTCACCTAGTACAAATGTAACCCTTTTTCTTCCTTTGTTGGCATATTTTGCATACCCTTCCTTTTTCTTCTCAATTTGGGCCTCCATGTAACTTCTTGACATATTATGCTTTATCCTGCCTAGATTGATCCTTATACTGAGAAGTGTTAGGTAATGGTAACAAATCCAAAGGAGTTAAAGGATTAAAACCATAAACAATTTCAAATGGTGACAATTGAATAGTATTATATATAGCCGTATTGTAAGCAAATTCAACATGTGGTAAAAACTCTTCCCAAGTTCTAAGATTTTTCATAATTGTAGCTCTAAGAAGAGTAGAAAAGATTCTATTCACCACCTGAGTTTGTCTATCTGTTTGGGGTGACAAGTTGTTGAAAACAACAATTTAGTTCCAATCTTACCCCACAAAGTCCTCCAACTAAGAAATTTAGAATGTGGGTCACTTACAATACTTTTAGGAAAGCTGTGCAACCTTTGTAAAAAGTGGAGCACATCAAATGGTTGCAATTGTGGCTGCATCAGCCATATTTGTGCATAATTTCCCGCAATATCAACAATCTTGATGAGACTAAACACGACTATAATTTAAAACCTTGTGCCTATGAGATCAATTATGAGTATTTGATGCATAGTTAACCATGCAGGAGGAAATTGACGGTTCCAACGAATACAACAATTTCCAGCATGGCTCAATTAACACTACTCTGCAGCTTATCCAGGACTTGGAAAACATTGACGTTGTTTTCCATATTGGAGATATATGTTATGCAAATGGTTACCTTTCTCAATGGGATCAATTTACAGCACAGGTGGAGCCAATTGCATCAGCTGTGCCCTACATGGTTGCAAGGTTTTTTATACAGCTTACCAAAAAATTAGTCTAGGATGTGTTTCAATTTATTTATTTATTTATAAAAATGATACTCTTGTGGTGTCTTTGGTCTTACAGTGGGAATCATGAGCGAGATTGGCCTGGAACAGGATCCTTTTACGAGAACATGGATTCTGGAGGAGAATGTGGTGTGTTGGCACAGACTATGTTCTACACCCCTGCTTCAAACAGGGCTAAGGTTTGGTATGATAATATGACCTCCATTTGAGATGATAATCACTAAAATAAATTTTGTATATTGTATGATTTTTCCTGTGTAGAAAGTTTATCTTCTGCTGGGTTTAATGATTTTTCATGATTTGGGTATGAACAATGAATTACTAAGAATTGCAACGTTATTCAATTAAGTGTAAATAGTCAAAATAATTCTAAGACTTTCCAATTTTGCACCATCTCTTTTTTTCTTAATGATGCTACCCTTTTTTTTAACTATTATTCAAAAACTATCCTCATTTAACCAGAAAGGGTTTACAAATCACTTTTGAAAAATTAATCCCAAGAAATATTAAAACTCTCTGACATTAAAAATCATTAATGACATTTTGAAGAAATAATGACATTTTCATTTTGTTTTGTAATAACAGTTAAAAAATGAATAAAGGGGAATGCCATTGATAACTCTCAACATAAAAAAGTAAAGCAACAAGAACCACCACCTTGTATTGATCATATTATCATCAGTTCCTAAAATATGTAGCTCATTAGGCTGAGTTATTCGGCATCAAAATCTAAATTAAGGGTTTTCATTCATACTCTTTTTTGGACTGAAAGTAAATAGGAGGGAAAAGATAACGAGGTGGGTTCAATATGTAAAGCTTAGTGAAAAGGAATATCATTTATTTTAGTTATGGCAAATAAATACATTTTAGTATTTGGAAGGTTAATGTAATGAGGCATTGTAATAATTTTATAATAAAGCTCACCAATGGTTGCTTTTGGTTTAAAAAGCTTTAGGTAGTATGGAATATTCAACACATCAGGTATTTGGAACGTGTTACATTTCTACTTCTTTCACCAGGTATTCAATTGACTATGGCATGTTCCGCTTCTGTATCGCTGACACTGAACATGATTGGAGAGAAGGAACAGAACAATACAAGTTCATTGAGCATTGTTTCGCTTCAGTTGACAGACAAAAACAGCCGTGGCTAATTTTCCTTGCACATAGGGTACTTGGATACTCCTCTTGTATCTGTTATGCAGAAGAGGGATCATTTGCTGAACCAATGGGGAGAGAGAGCCTTCAAAAGCTATGGCAGAAGTACAAGGTGGACATTGCCGTATATGGCCATGTGCACAATTATGAGAGGACATGCCCCATATACCAGGTTTCTTCAACCGTGTGCTTTCTTCCATTTAATTTTTTTTAACATAAAGCTAATATTTACATTAACAACACACATCAAGAATTAGGCGTAAAGAAATCAAAAGGCCAAGTTCCCTAATCCCTACTGTGCTCTTCTTGACCAAAATGAAACAAATAGCATTTTACATGCCACAAATATCATCATTTAAACCTGAAAATCGGAAAGACAATGTGCATTTTCTCTACTAACAACTATCTTTTACATTTTGCAACAGAATATCTGCACTAATGAAGAGAAATACCACTATAAGGGAACCTTAAAGGGGACAATACATATTGTTGCTGGTGGTGGTGGATCTAGCCTTTCAACATTTACTTCCCTCAAAACCAAATGGAGCATCTTTAAAGACTATGACTATGGATTTGTAAAACTAACTGCTTTTGATCACTCAAATTTGTTGTTTGAGTACAAGAAGAGCCGAGATGGGAAGGTTTATGACTCCTTCAATATATCACGTGATTATAGAGACATATTGGCCTGCACCATGGATAGTTGCCCAAGTATGACAATGGCATCTTGATTGATAAAATGGAAAAAGATTCAATGTATCCAGCCATGTTGAAGCAGTGAATTATGAGTAAATTATCTTCCACAAGCAAATAGATGTTATATTCGGCTGCAAGCTGTCATCTTGACCAATGCGAACGCACGCTCAATTTATTGGTATTTAAGTTTAAGCTGCAAGCACTTTCTTGTACCTAAAATAAAATAGGAGAGCGAAATACAATGCTATACAAGCAATACCAGTAATTACCAAAACCAAATTGAATCCAGATGGATAGTCAAAAACTGTGGTTTCAAAGTTCATTCCAAATACACCTGCTACAGCAGTAAATACTGCAGCTACCAATGTAGCAGCTGTAAGAAGCAGCTCAAACTGTATTAGCTGGTTTTGAATATTTCCCTGTAATAAATAGAGTGAAAAGTAATGCTGCCTGTGTCACAGTTTAGAGCATCAAAGAATTAAAGGAATATTCAGCAGAATGTTGAAAACTGTTAATGTCAGCTTACCAATTTTATGTTGATAAAATCTTCTGTGTCGTCAATGTACTCTTTGAGCTGCATTACCAGCAGAAAAAAAAAAATATTTAGCACTTGCATGAAGCGCCTAAATAATAAAACCATATGCTATTAGTTAATATAAAATGAAACTGTGGCTGCTACTCATATGAGAAAAATCATAATGCAACAGCTGATTGGGTGAAGGCTTGCCTGAGCTAATTTAATGTTTATATAAGNTATCTGTTTGGGGTGACAAGTTGTTGAAAACAACAATTTAGTTCCAATCTTACCCCACAAAGTCCTCCAACTAAGAAATTTAGAATGTGGGTCACTTACAATACTTTTAGGAAAGCTGTGCAACCTTTGTAAAAAGTGGAGCACATCAAATGGTTGCAATTGTGGCTGCATCAGCCATATTTGTGCATAATTTCCCGCAATATCAACAATCTTGATGAGACTAAACACGACTATAATTTAAAACCTTGTGCCTATGAGATCAATTATGAGTATTTGATGCATAGTTAACCATGCAGGAGGAAATTGACGGTTCCAACGAATACAACAATTTCCAGCATGGCTCAATTAACACTACTCTGCAGCTTATCCAGGACTTGGAAAACATTGACGTTGTTTTCCATATTGGAGATATATGTTATGCAAATGGTTACCTTTCTCAATGGGATCAATTTACAGCACAGGTGGAGCCAATTGCATCAGCTGTGCCCTACATGGTTGCAAGGTTTTTTATACAGCTTACCAAAAAATTAGTCTAGGATGTGTTTCAATTTATTTATTTATTTATAAAAATGATACTCTTGTGGTGTCTTTGGTCTTACAGTGGGAATCATGAGCGAGATTGGCCTGGAACAGGATCCTTTTACGAGAACATGGATTCTGGAGGAGAATGTGGTGTGTTGGCACAGACTATGTTCTACACCCCTGCTTCAAACAGGGCTAAGGTTTGGTATGATAATATGACCTCCATTTGAGATGATAATCACTAAAATAAATTTTGTATATTGTATGATTTTTCCTGTGTAGAAAGTTTATCTTCTGCTGGGTTTAATGATTTTTCATGATTTGGGTATGAACAATGAATTACTAAGAATTGCAACGTTATTCAATTAAGTGTAAATAGTCAAAATAATTCTAAGACTTTCCAATTTTGCACCATCTCTTTTTTTCTTAATGATGCTACCCTTTTTTTTAACTATTATTCAAAAACTATCCTCATTTAACCAGAAAGGGTTTACAAATCACTTTTGAAAAATTAATCCCAAGAAATATTAAAACTCTCTGACATTAAAAATCATTAATGACATTTTGAAGAAATAATGACATTTTCATTTTGTTTTGTAATAACAGTTAAAAAATGAATAAAGGGGAATGCCATTGATAACTCTCAACATAAAAAAGTAAAGCAACAAGAACCACCACCTTGTATTGATCATATTATCATCAGTTCCTAAAATATGTAGCTCATTAGGCTGAGTTATTCGGCATCAAAATCTAAATTAAGGGTTTTCATTCATACTCTTTTTTGGACTGAAAGTAAATAGGAGGGAAAAGATAACGAGGTGGGTTCAATATGTAAAGCTTAGTGAAAAGGAATATCATTTATTTTAGTTATGGCAAATAAATACATTTTAGTATTTGGAAGGTTAATGTAATGAGGCATTGTAATAATTTTATAATAAAGCTCACCAATGGTTGCTTTTGGTTTAAAAAGCTTTAGGTAGTATGGAATATTCAACACATCAGGTATTTGGAACGTGTTACATTTCTACTTCTTTCACCAGGTATTCAATTGACTATGGCATGTTCCGCTTCTGTATCGCTGACACTGAACATGATTGGAGAGAAGGAACAGAACAATACAAGTTCATTGAGCATTGTTTCGCTTCAGTTGACAGACAAAAACAGCCGTGGCTAATTTTCCTTGCACATAGGGTACTTGGATACTCCTCTTGTATCTGTTATGCAGAAGAGGGATCATTTGCTGAACCAATGGGGAGAGAGAGCCTTCAAAAGCTATGGCAGAAGTACAAGGTGGACATTGCCGTATATGGCCATGTGCACAATTATGAGAGGACATGCCCCATATACCAGGTTTCTTCAACCGTGTGCTTTCTTCCATTTAATTTTTTTTAACATAAAGCTAATATTTACATTAACAACACACATCAAGAATTAGGCGTAAAGAAATCAAAAGGCCAAGTTCCCTAATCCCTACTGTGCTCTTCTTGACCAAAATGAAACAAATAGCATTTTACATGCCACAAATATCATCATTTAAACCTGAAAATCGGAAAGACAATGTGCATTTTCTCTACTAACAACTATCTTTTACATTTTGCAACAGAATATCTGCACTAATGAAGAGAAATACCACTATAAGGGAACCTTAAAGGGGACAATACATATTGTTGCTGGTGGTGGTGGATCTAGCCTTTCAACATTTACTTCCCTCAAAACCAAATGGAGCATCTTTAAAGACTATGACTATGGATTTGTAAAACTAACTGCTTTTGATCACTCAAATTTGTTGTTTGAGTACAAGAAGAGCCGAGATGGGAAGGTTTATGACTCCTTCAATATATCACGTGATTATAGAGACATATTGGCCTGCACCATGGATAGTTGCCCAAGTATGACAATGGCATCTTGATTGATAAAATGGAAAAAGATTCAATGTATCCAGCCATGTTGAAGCAGTGAATTATGAGTAAATTATCTTCCACAAGCAAATAGATGTTATATTCGGCTGCAAGCTGTCATCTTGACCAATGCGAACGCACGCTCAATTTATTGGTATTTAAGTTTAAGCTGCAAGCACTTTCTTGTACCTAAAATAAAATAGGAGAGCGAAATACAATGCTATACAAGCAATACCAGTAATTACCAAAACCAAATTGAATCCAGATGGATAGTCAAAAACTGTGGTTTCAAAGTTCATTCCAAATACACCTGCTACAGCAGTAAATACTGCAGCTACCAATGTAGCAGCTGTAAGAAGCAGCTCAAACTGTATTAGCTGGTTTTGAATATTTCCCTGTAATAAATAGAGTGAAAAGTAATGCTGCCTGTGTCACAGTTTAGAGCATCAAAGAATTAAAGGAATATTCAGCAGAATGTTGAAAACTGTTAATGTCAGCTTACCAATTTTATGTTGATAAAATCTTCTGTGTCGTCAATGTACTCTTTGAGCTGCATTACCAGCAGAAAAAAAAAAATATTTAGCACTTGCATGAAGCGCCTAAATAATAAAACCATATGCTATTAGTTAATATAAAATGAAACTGTGGCTGCTACTCATATGAGAAAAATCATAATGCAACAGCTGATTGGGTGAAGGCTTGCCTGAGCTAATTTAATGTTTATATAAGCACCTTAGCTATATTACCCAATACTATGATATCCAACGTAAAATACCCTATGCTATAAGCAACATGGGTAGATTGTAAGGCTACAGCTGAGTAGGTCAAACTTTTCATACCGATAATAGTGTGTTAAGAGTATTATCAATGAGTACAAAATATGCTTCAAGCAACATTTCGAGTGGCTCAATCCTTTCCTCGTTATCAGAAGAGACCATTGAGCTACCATGTTTACTAGAATTTCCAATGCTGCTGAAAGCCCTTTGCAACATCTGGACTCCACTAGTCGTTCGCTCGGGTGAAACAGGAGCTGACTTTGAAATCACTCCACCAGATGCATTAGTTTGAAAACAGTCATTAATAGTGTAAGTATCAGATCTTCTCTTTTTCTCAGTTAGACACATCTCAGCCATGTCACCATCATCATCCATAAGATGTTCTATTTCATCACGAACCTGGGAATTAACAAGGAATTACTAGTTGTAGGTGATAGAAAGCCAGAAAAAATGAGAATAGTAATCAAGGATAATAATTCAACATTGATCAACCTTCTGAACTCGTTGAGTCAAAGCAAGCAGGTGACCTTTAAATCTCCTAACACGTTCCAGATTTAGAGTACTGATAGATGAGGCTAGTTCATCTAGCACGGGATATATTTCCATTTCCAGTTCGTTTACCTGTCAAATAACATCCTTCTTAATATACCCGATTCAAGATGTCAATTTAATTGCATAAGCTGGAAGCTTATTCAACATCTTTTTCTATGCGTTAAGCTATGCATATGATATAACGTGACATAAACGTAATGACCTCAATTCCAAAACTAAAACAACCATTTGCAAGATACAAGCTATACGACTATACCTGGTCTTGAGCCACTGAAATTTGCATTACAATGATCTAGGTCCTAAGATAAAATTAGATATCAGAGGAGTGATAAACCTTCACTCCTATGGATTTCTTGGGGACATTGTGAAACTTCATATGTTAATTTTAAATCTTGTATTGGTTTTTCCCAATTTCTCTTGTTTTACAACAAAATTAATGAATTAGATGAGTTCAGATGAAAATAGGTCATCACATTTGATGGAGATATAAAACAAAATGATTTTATGAAGATATCAACAAAAGGAATTGTTGAAGAAAATTATAGAGATATCTATTCTGAGGCAATTTAAAGAAACTCTATCCAATCTCAATCTCAAATTTGGTGGAAATAATGAAGTAATCCTCTCTCTATCCGTATGAAAAGAGTAGGAACTAGAGATTGGATACACTCATCTTTGATCATCTTATCATCTTTCATAATACCTCAATTTTTTTACTCAATTCACAATATTCTGTCGTCTTGGCAATCTTGGAGCATCACAAACATAAATTGTCAAATAGTACACAGTAGCAGCAATAACTCAAGCCAAAGTCATTGCAGCTATTGCAGTGCTCAGGAAAAACTGAAAACAGGGTGAAATCTTTTTGTTCATAGATCGCTCAGTGTAGCGGCATTTCTCGTTCTCTTGGGTATGAAGAATATATTTAGAATTATGACCTTTGTTATATAGTAATACCAAAGTTCAAGATTCGTCTCCTGGATCAATAGAAATTTATCATAATGACATTCTAGCAAATTATCAATTGCTACACATGAATTTCTATATGAATTTAAACAAATAGAGACAACTATGACAACTAGCTGGGAGAAAAAAAGTCTAGCAAAGTCTCAAGGTTTTGGGTGAGATTGTTTGATGGTATAATATTTATACATAGTATTAAAAAGTAATATAAAATATTTCTTAAAAATACTACATCAAAATTTGTATATATTTTAATACCAACAAACTTATTATAAGGTTTAAAAAATCTCAATTGAATATCACCAAATTTTTCTGTTTTCCTTAAATAAATTATGATAATTTAATTGATACCGCAATGCTTATTTCTATCATTCAAGAGTCTTGATTCAATACCAGAAGAATTTTTGATAAAAAAAATCTTTCAAAATCCTAATCAAGGCACTCTCCTTAAATTATAACTTCCACCCATTACTTATGAACATACCTTAAATTTTGGATTTGTATTATTATTTTTTAGCTTTAATAGAAGTCTACTATAAATGATTCAATATAATCTAAAAAATTCAAGCACGTATTCTAAAAAGTTTGAGTTCATTGCTGCATGGAAAAAGGGATTTTATCTTTTTATTCGATTTTTTCTACCATCTTTTGAATCTTTATGGTTGAAATATATGTTTGAGTACCAGGCATTTTTTCATTCTATAACTAAATCCACAGTTTGGGCTATGGTGGACCTTGGGATTTGATTCTGGATCTTCCCAGTTTTAAATATATTGTATTTCTGTTCATTAGGTTTGTTACATTGCACTTAGCTGCATTCAATTGGCCATTCTTAGATGTATGAGGATGGATTGATTAATGATGACAAATATAATTAATCATCAGGTATAAGGCAAATCAGGTCAATGGTTATTCAATAATCAAACGGAAACTCTTACTCAATTGTTTAATGGATAGCACCCAACAATCTCTTACACTTATATATGGGAATTTGGAATTATAGTAAATTCAACACAACTGAGTCATGAACCATAGATTCATCTATAATTGACATCCTTGTGTTTATTTATATCTGCAAATTACTCCATTGTGCACTACTTAGTTTTTATTCTTATTCTACATTTTTTCACCCTCTTAATTTGTTGTCTAAATGGATTAAGAGTCTTGCAACATTGGTAATTGCACACATCAGATGCTGATAGCAACCAAAACCGGAATTCATGTTTGTTATCTTGACAATCAAAGATCATTTGCAATGTCATCCGCCCCACCCCCAATTTTTATTCTACCATAAACAATGATAGGGTAGAAATTGATGTAGGACAAAGAGGAGTCATTCATAATTATATGTCATGACACCTGGACTTCTATTCAAGCTATTATAACTTGATGCTGATAAGCTGATGTCCCAGAGTACTTCCCACATACCATTCATGATGCTAAGTTCAGGTATTTCAAAAAGGCAAGTGTCTAACATTGCCTTTTTTTTATTTTCCATTGCACATGTGATAGTGAGACACATAAGTGTTGCTACAATGTGATTTAATTAAAATATTTTTTCAATACAAAGCCATTATATTTTGAATCAGATTACGGTTTTTAAATGTTACCATTATTCAAAGTGTCATATTATGGTTTTGAGCCATTACTCTGTCAGATATATTTTCGATTTAATGCATACTAATGTTTTGGTATTCAACATTTTTATCTGCTCGTTTATTTCTTATTTAATGATTAGGAGAATTATTCCATATAATCACTCTATAAATAACCTCTTTTAAGACAGGTTTTGCATACACCAGACAATTCTCTTCTCCTATCCTCTCCTCTCTTCTTTCATTGGATTCTTGTGTTTTGCTAGTTATGCTACCTTAATTCTTCTGAGAACTGTTCTCCTTCACTGAGACATGTACTAGTCGCTCCCATGGATTTCTGTTCGATTCTAGTTAGAGTTTTAGATGATCTGGATATAGACCTAAGGGTTAGGATTTGTTTTTTTATAGGGGTTTCATACTATACAAATAGGTCTCTTGGCTGTATAATAGGAGAAATAGTTGTCCTTAATAATAGACGTTTTCTTATATTTTCCTAAGATATTAGCTAGACGACCACCACCCTATTGTTTGTTTCAAATCTCCTTGCACACTATATTACCTTTGTGCTACGCAAAATTAATCCTAGGGTTTTAACCAGCCAGAATCTTGATTGCAGTGAATGGTGGAAAATATTGTGGGCAGTCAATAGAGTATAATCATGGTCGAGTTATATAGATTATTTGAATTTGCAGGGAAATACTTAGAGTGTATGATGAAAATATTTCCAACATGATAAATCCTGAAGTAATTTAACCATAATACTGACAAACATGCAAATTCATAGCTACCATTTTCAATGTAAATAAGACATAGAAAATATACTATCATATTCACAGCCCTAAGGTGGAAGATTCCCCAAGTAGACCTTTAGGTCAATTTATACCTGAGCATCTAAAGATGTGCATGTCAATTCTAGAGCCAACTCCAGTGCCCTAATTTCAAAAGGTAGATCATCTGTTAAAAAATGGCAGACAAAGTAAGCAATCCTATGCAGTAATTATCTCCATCAAAAAACTTAAAAAAGTGCTTAATACCTTGGAAATATAGTAGATTTAATAAGTATTAAGAAGAAAATACTCGACAGTTAAAAGAAAATTCAATGTCTATCCGTTATTATTCTTCATCCATTCCCTAACAGTGTCCCAACAGAAAAGACAAATAGGTAAGTTAAAATCGTCACAATAAACCTAGATACATATAAGACATTTTTTTATGAGTCTTCCTTTCACCTAAATCTATATGTTACATCAATATGAGCTGAACTCCTTCCTTACCAGCTTTTTCATTCTTAAGGCGACTGCATAATTCTGACCTGTACTGACCAACACTACCATCCAATGAATTCATCAGGATGACCTCATCCGCAGTGATTATACATCGGATTTGCTCAAGGTTGACTACAATAGCCTTCTCCCGTCCTAATATTGCTGAAGGATAAATAAACATTGGATCCAATAGCCGGAGATCTCTAGAAGGCAAAGAACAATTTCTCATTATAGTTGCCTTGTCAAGTCTCACTGTCTCAAAATTCCCATCGTTACCAATTTTAATCCAAGACCGACTTCCATGACCTCTCTTCTTCAGGCCTGGCATCCCAGTCCCACGATTTATTTGCGCATTGGAATAAGACCTCACACTACCATCACGAGACAAAGAAATCTCAGGTAGACTGGAAGAATAATACTGATCTTGTGTTTCATCCATAGCAATTGCATTATAATTTCCACACTTGCAATACTGATACAGAATTACTTTTAACTGTGGTAGTCTCCATTAGTATTCACTATTCAGCATTCGTTTCCACCACAACCTTGATATACAGGTGATAACCGGATCAAGAACTGAATCTGAGGTGATCCATACGTTGTGCCTTTCTCAAATTAAAACCTGAAATTGGTACCCCGACAAGAAAATTACTGAAGAACGGAATGTAAAAAAAAAAAAAGAAATACAGAAAGAGGCCATATTCACGTCTCCATCTAATTGACGAATTGACCGCAACCAATAAGAAAACTAACAAAGTGACGCCTCAGTCGATGTGAAAACTAACAAATAGGAAAAAGAATGTTACACTTTAACCACATATCGCGCTTTAATTGAAGGAGCAAGGAACGGACAAGTAGTTTCAACTCAATAGAAAAATAAAACCTTAACCCAAATAAGCAATCAATAAAAACAAGGAAGCAATCAATTAAACAATAACAAAACGAAAGGGCGAGAAAACGCAATGCTGTGATAATTACCATCATTCAATACATAATTTATCTTAAGATTCAAAAAATTGCTTTGCCAGTAAACTCGGCCAGATACTTTAAACTTGCCAACACTAATGTTGTGCCGAAATACCAATTCACACTAGGGAGTCCTTCAATCAATTTCAACCCAACTGAATCAAATTGACACAGTTAAGTTCTCCATCATCTGAACTAAGTCCCACGCTCCCCCTCCTTAACCTTATACTGACAGCACCCACCAATTCCCGAGTCTCATACAAGATTTCATCTTTTGCATAAATACCACCACCCGGTTAACAATTTCTATCAAATCAGATTCAAACAGTGGAGTAAATCGAAAACCCAGAGTTACCTGAAGGTCGAGAATATGCAAAAAAGGTTTGAAAGGTGGAAGATGGGTTGAAGTAAGATTGCGAACGGGTTTCTATTCTCAGAGTTACGAACACTGCATTACGAGAAAAGAAACGATGGATTGTACGTAAGCGCTGTTCATCCGAATTGCTTTAAGTGTTTGATTACTAATTACTAACCTTTTGGGTTTATTTGTTTTCGAAAGAGTAAAACAGCTTGACAGAGGTAGTTATTAGTTGTATATAATACGCGCTACATAAAAGGTTTCTTCTTCTAAAGTATTTTTTTAATTTAGTAAATATGTGTTTTATTAAATATATAACATATGTTTTTTATCTTTAAATTAAATTAAATTATAATATATTTTATTTTTTCTGTATGTAAAAGTTATATTAGATATTTTCTAAAAAAATTATATATGTGTGTTATATTTAAGTGTGAAATTCTTCTTTTTCTTTTTTATGAAAAACACATTTCACATATAATTTTTTACAATGATATTTTATATTACTTTCATAATAAATATTTTATGTTTTAATTTAAAAATAAAATATAATTTTTTACAATAATTTAAAAAGAAAAAATATATTTAATTTTTTTTTGTTTATATGTATAAATGCAATTCCTACTAAGGTAATGTTTCTTCTTTATCCCCTTCTTATATTGGTAAAACAAATCAGCTCTGTAACCTAAAAGTTAATTAAATATTTTATAATTTAATTTAAAAATAAAATATACATTTTTGAAAAAATATAAAAGCAAAAAAATATATTTAATTTTTTTGTTTGTATGATAAAATATAATGCAATTCCTACCACGTAATGTTTCTTCCTTATCTCCTTCTTAGATTGATAGAATGAATCTGTAACATAAAAATTAATTAAAGATGGAATATATTAATAGCCTAAAAATTAATTAAATATGGAATATATTAATAGTTGATATATTATACTTTTTTACAACACTGGTATTGCTATAAAGTATTTACTGATTTTATTGATAAGTAGTATATGTCTAAGAATATATGTCTCACTATTTTTTTTTTCATTCACATTAATTAGTCTTTAAACAACAACGAAGATAAAGGACCAAAGTAAATTCTAGAGCAGATACAGATTAGTTAATTAAATATATGCCTAAAAATATATGTCTTTGAATTGTTTTTTTCATTCACATTAATTAGTCTTTAAAATAAATTCTGAAATAAATACAGATTAGTTAATTAAATATAAGTGTTTGATAAAATTAGTAAAAGCCTTTGTGGAAATAATCAATGGGTAAGGAAGACACCCTAGAGTCATCTTCTTGAGAGTTATAGAAAAAGTTTTACGCATGATGATATCACTAATCAAGTATAGACTGATATGGGTGATGTAAATAGAGATATGTTTGTTTTGATCTATGGTACCATCATAACAGCCTAAGGTCAAGGACTTCCAATGTTTTGGAAGGTAAATATTTATAAATTAGTGTTTATCCACTGTTTCAGATCAAATCATTGAAAGATCATTATTAAGACAAAATCATCTAAACGCTCTTATGTTTTGAAGTTTAATCAATTAACATTAAACGAGATAAGAATTTGAAAACATCTAAACTTGAAAAATAGGATAGGTAGAAACCCAAATGCTAGAAACAATATTCTCAAATCATCCATCAACATAGAAAAACCTTAGGAAAACAACTAGGTTAAAATCTTTCAAACGCAATGCTAAACGACTTACAAGTCAAAGTGTCGAAAGAGAGTTATGCTAAACGCGTAAGCTATATTGTACCCAATGATATTCAGTTGAACTCTCAATAAGCAAAAAGGTGTCAAGACAATGTCTTTGACCAAAACCTCTAAAAGCCTTAAACAAAGATTGAAAACTTATAAAAGAAGAAACGTACTTAACGCTCAAGCTCTAAAAGACAATATTTCAAAAAACGTTTACATTAGTCTAAACGATACCATGAGTTAAACCCTTTACTTCGTTAAACGATGAAGTTCTTACTCAACAAATGATATCTTTAAGGAAAACTTAATTGATAAATGCTACCTCAATAGTAGAAAATGTAAAAAGTACTTTTTTGTTCTGAACAAGCATTAAATGACATTAAATGCTTAACAATCAAAAACAACAAAAGTGATAAGAGATAAGACATATTTGTTGTATGCACAATCTACTCTTTTCTATGCAAATAACCTACTATACATATTCACTGCTTTATTTGAAACATATTAGAAATGGTCTGAAAGAAAGTACAACCTACTTCAAGTAAAGTTCTAAAAAGGCATGCTTACTTTGACAAGCTGAGTTTAACCAACGTCTGTTTTTACACCCAAGACAGAGAAGACACGACAAGATTCAAGGCTAAGAGCTCACAGTCTAACGGATATATTTTCAAAGAGCCTTTAAATAGAAGGTCATTCAAAGGAAGAATCAAGAGGATAGCCAAGCGAAAAGCTTACAATGAAAATATTAATCCTACAAAAAAACATTTAGAAGAGAAGCACAAAAAAAGATCAAGCAAAAGAGAATATCTGAGTAGAGAAAAAGAAAATTCAAGCAATACTCTCGAGCTTCATTGTTATATTTGCTTATTGTTGTAAGAAGAGAGAAAAGAGAGAAACACCTAGTGAGTCTCTAGATTGTATTGTATTGTAAACATATCCTCTCTATGAGAGTAATAGTCTAAACGGCTTGTAAGTAATCGTTGATTGCAATTCTGAAGAGAATTAAAACATCTGTTGTTGAAACTCTAAGGAGTTAAGGAAATCTAGACAACGTATCAAAAGATACCAAGATTGTCTAGTACCAGGAGTGGTGGAATACTCAACTAGTCTAGGGTAATGGAAGATTATTCGCTGACTATAGATACCAAGAGTAGTATGAATACTCAACTAGTTTAGGGTAACGAGAAGTTATTCACTAGGGATACCAAGAGTGATGAAGAATATTGCACAATCAAGAGTGAGTGAAACTCAACTAGACAACATATCGGTGGGTACCAGGAGTGCCTAGGGATACCAGGAGTGGAACCCCCTATGGATAGAGGAGACTAGACATAACTCAATTGGAGTGAACCAATATAAAAATATTTGTGCATTTATTGTTTACTTTTGCCTAAACGCTTCTCTTATAAAATCTATAGTTGCACTTTACTTTTACATACAAGAAACTTCTCATTACAAACATTGCATTGTGTATTTTGAATAACATGTACAATAAGTTATCGTTCATAATCATTTGTAAAGTCGAACGTTTAACAATTACTTGATAAATCTCATACTCGACGAACATGTTATATTATAAGTGTTGCAAAAAAGTATTTTGTTAACACTATTCAACCCCTTTTAGTATTTTTCAAATACTTCAAACATTGTTTTTTACAAATGATTATTCATTTACCAAAGATTTGTGATTTAGGGCATGTTGATTGATGACATAAGACACTAACTAAAGCGGGTGGCCCATAGGCTTGGACCAAGATCTATGTGGGATGAGTTAAAAGACTGAAGGCTATATTTGTAAAATGAGATGGCCCAATTTTACTCGTATTTTGCGGGCCAAGATGGGCCAAAACGGATCAAGTTGGCTTGTATTACCACCCTGTCATAAAGTTTAAAAAATAAAATATTTATATTTAAATTTGAATTATTATTAGTTTTTTTTTCCGATGAGTATGGTTTCATTTAAATAGTGTATTATAATGAATAAAAAATAAATTTCATTATCATATAGCGAAAGAAGTCAAAAGACTTTTTAAATATTTTTAGAGATAAATATTTGTTTTGTTTGATAATCTTTTAATGGAATTTCTTTTAACTTTATCAACTTTGTTTCAAATGTTTTTAAAATGAATAGATGTTTTGATTCTTACGAAATTTTATTTATATATAATTATATTATATAGTTATTTTAATTTTATCTAATTGTTATTTAATATTTTGATTTAAAATTTAAATTTATATAATTATAATTTTTTAAAATATTTTTTATTGAACACGTTTTTTAATATTAAATATTTGATAAGGTAATGTTTTTTTTATAAAGTTTAATTAATTGATTTTAAAAAGTAAGAAAATGACGGATGAATATGAGTACGAATTGTTCAATATAAATGAAGACGAAAAAAAAAAAATACCTAATAAATATAAAGATATAAATTGATATAAATTTTTTATTGAGATAATAAAAGTCATTTTGTCTAGTCGTCATTCCTAATAAAAATCATATGTCTCCAAAATTTTAAATTTTATTATGGATTAAAAATTAATTAAACTCTATGTGAATATATATATATATATATATATATATATATATCAAAAAGCAAATAAATTGAAATTAATTACAATACTATTTAAAAAATAATAAATACAATTATCTTCTGTCACTGGAAGTTACCTGACATACCTTGTGTCTAAGACAATTAGTTGGAGATTTGGCGCCAAACGAAAGAACAGTTATTCACAGAATGGAATCCAAAACTCAATTCCTATATTGTCGCAACAATCCTCTCCGTCAGATTCTTCTGAAAACCCTAATTTTTCATTTGATTTTTCTTTCTAATCAGCTTTCCATTCCTCTCCTCTCCACCACCTTTCAAATTCAACAACATATTTGTAGCTAGATGCAATCGTCACGTTAAATAAGCAAAGGTTTCAGACACAAAATTGTTTTCTCAGTTGTTTGATTTTTCAGGTGCATCTCTTATATACTCAATCAAACCCGTTTGGTTTTTTTATCTTGGGTTATAACAATTTTTAAATTTTGAAATCTATATTTTATGTTTTCTTTTTTCATTTTGTTTTTCGATTATTCTGTGTTCGGTTTTTGTTCTTTTTACGAACAAATGAATCAACCTGGATATATCAAAAAGGGGAGGGTGTAGAATTTTTGGAAAGGGGTATCTGAGCTTGAACATGTCTCATTTTGGAGATGAGTAACGTGAAAAATGAAGCAAGATATGGGATGATAACAATTTTATTGAATTTTGTGGTATTGAATATTTGAAACGTATATTGCAAATGGATTCTGGAATAATGATATTAAGGATTCAAGGTTTTAATTGTGGTTTTGCTGAAATCCTTGATTTTGCTTAAAGCGGCAGTTAAATGCAACCCATATTGTTGTGTTGCAGCCGTCTATACCCAAAAATGCCTTGACATTACAACCGATGTAGTTGTGTTGCAGCCGTCGAGCCCCAAAAACCTTGACATTACGGTCAAAAACACCGTTGTGGATCGTTTCTATGAAAGTGAGCTAATGCGTAATTCGACCTCAGAAAACTAATTTGGAAGGAGAGTTTTGTACCTCATTTCTACGTTATGATTTGGTCATGTCCTTAGTTAATCTACAATCTACAACAAACCCGCGTGATATTAATTATATATTTTTAAGTACTCTATCTAGAGCTCTAGCAAGTGACATAACAATCCCAGTGAGCATAATTAAGGTAGACTTTAATATCATCTTAGTAATGGAATTCCCATCAAGTTTTTGATGTTCAAGGTGTTTAGTTAATTTGATTCTTAATCATTAATATTAAATATCTCATATATTGCTTGCTGATATGCTTTTGAAGTCATTAAATTTAGCACTAGTCTGCACAAATATATTATTCTCAAGGTCTTTTGTTTTTTCTCTAGTTGTTAGGCTACATAAAATTCCAAATTTCAATGTTCTTACGTGACATATAATTCATTATTTCTTAGCATGCGGTATTTATTAATCCTGAAACACCATTTACTCTTTGTCATCTTTCTATAACATCTTTTTTATTTTCAGAAAAGACAAGCTTTTGAGCTTATTCATGCAGTACAAATGGAAATGCACTTCAAGTTTACATGTCAATATCCTGACACTGAAATGTGGAAATATAGTATAACGTAAGTCAAGTACTCAAGTAAAATTCATAGGGGCATCGCAAACCAAGTTCCCAGCATTCGAAATCCAGCGAGGGAAGAGAAGTAGAAAGTGTTCAAATGGATGGAGAGTCATTTGATCATAGTATACAAGATAAACAAGCAAAAGTAGTTTCAGAAACTATCGGTGACAGTCCGAGAAGTAAAGATTCCAGCCGTGAGAGTGGAAGCAGTAGTGATTCACCAAAGCAAATTTGTGTCATCAGTAAAGTTGAAAGTGATAAGGCTGAATTCTCTGACACACATACCGATGGCACTAAAATCACGTCTTCATCAGCTAGAAGGGGAACTTCTTGCTCTTCATCCGAATCATCATCAGATGATGCCTTTGAAATGGAGGAATCATTTACGAACACCAAATCTGGGAAAGATTATGTTTCTAGCTCTGAGAGCTCTGACAAGTCTGAAGTTGACAACAACTTTGTACTTCCAACATCAACATATGAAGTTAACAATTTGAGCAACAGCCAAAAGGATATTTCACCAATTGCTAGTCCCCCCCTCCAACTGATGGATCGATCTGGAAGTTATGATGCATCTATTGTTCCATCTTCAATTTTTGAAACAACTGCTAATCCTTCAGAATGGAGTATTGCTTCTAATGATTCACTATTCAGTATTCAAATAGGGCAACCAAGTTTCTCCAGAGAAAAAGCGCTTATGTATGGTGAATTATGCTTGTCAACGGAATTGACCAAATCTGGTGGGCTGAATAACCAAACACCTTCAGTTATACTACAAGAGATAGGCACTACTGAAAATAATGTTGCTGTAGAGGAGATAGACACTGCCATAAAGAATGCTGATGTAGAGGCCCTGCAAGCATCAACATCATTTGGATCTTTCAGGTTTGAGGGAGAAAGTCACCTTGAAGACAATAACGAAACAGAGACTTCACCTGAAACTAAGACTTCACCTAAAACAAAGACTTCACCTGAAACTAAGACATCACCTGAAACAAAAAGTTTGAAATCATCCAAGTCCAATGCGTCAATTCCTTCTCATTGTGACAATGAAATTTTACCTGATCCTCCATTGTGAGTTCATTTTCATCTTTAATTCTTTAATCATAAATCTATTTTCTATGGATTGTACCTTTTTTAATAAGAAAACAAAAATGTTAAAACATCATTATTCTGACTACAATACTAACTAGGTTTGCATCTCAACGAGTATTAGTCATCTACATCATTCCCAAACTATATTTAAAAAAAAATACAAAATAGGAGACCAAACCAAATCTACTAACAAAAAGAAGCTAGGGAAGACCACAATAAAAGTGTTAGAAACATTGACAGAGAAAGCAATGTCCATGTGGAAATTCTTATATTTGTATACATCCTTTACAACTGATTTATAAATATATGTTAACTATTAGCATGGTAAATTACAAGGACATTCATCCATAGATATTGAAAACTCAGTCAAATCCAATTATTGAGGAATATCCCTTATGTACATTGCAGAAAGAAGCGATCACGGAAAGGCTACTTTTATAGTTGTGGCTGGATGAGCCATTTGTGGCCGAGCTGCAAGTGTTTGAGTTGTTGCTCATCATTCTCCAGTTGTTGGATTTGTAATCGTACAAAGTGTCATCATCCCACCTCCCTAATGTATGTTTTTTATATTCTATTTACCTTATTGTTATCCATGCTTCTTTTTATAGCATCAAGTATCTCCTTGTTATCTATTTTGATGTTTGCACACGCTGAGGCATTATAATTTGTCTTGAGATTCTCTGAAAGTTCTCTTAGTTTCAGCTCTAACTGTACAAGCATATTGATTTGAATCTGTTCTGGAATTATTGTAGTTTGAAAGAAGAAGGAAATGGTTCTACGAATATGGATGTTTCACCACAGGAATCAGATAAACCACAGGAATCAGATAAACCACATGAATCAGATAAACCACATGAATCAGATAAAGAAGAATCAGGAATGACTTCGGACTCTACAGCCATCCAAACTAAACAACAATCCGAAGTGCTTTCCAAATCAAAAGACAATAATTCCAATTGGATCCATTCTTTTTCTTGTCCATGGAAACTACCTTCCAAACATTGTTGTTGTTGTTGAGAGATCTTTTACAGAATTCAGATGCCTCGTTTGTTTATAGTTTACCACCACCTTTAGGTACATAGTTTTGATCACATGGCAATGAACACATATGTTGGAGCTTCATGTGAACCACTCTTCCCTTCAAAGAGTAATATGAATGTATATGCGAGCTAGATTCATAATGAGTAAAGAAAAATTATATGGTTTCATCATAAATTTAATGGTTTTGACACTTCCTGGGAAGTTCTTTCTCCCTCTTAGTGTCTCTTGATGTGTTTAAAATCATTCAATTATCGGTCTAAAAGCCAATCATACCAAAACCCTTAAGAGTGTTTGAGTATAATAGGAGCACTCACGAAGAAAATTAACATGAACCTGCAATCTGACTTTGCTCTAAAATTGAACTACTTAAAGAAAGTTTGCTAATTTTATGTGACAAATCATTCCATAATTGTAGAGGACTTAATTTGAAGACAGATCAAGAGATTGTTTTGGTGTTGTATTTCAATGAAATCCTGTAATTTGTTTCAGAGACATCAATTATCATTAGTATAATATTTAACACACTGACAGATTTAATTAACCTGACCATGAAATTTTAAGCCATACATCGTCTTGATCTTTAGCATAAATTAATTGTACGTAAAAAAATGTGATCATATGGCTCATTGCTAGGTAAGAAATGGAGTATTAACAGAAGCAATCCTTTGTGATGTAGTTACACTTTTTTTCTAAATATATTAACTAATTAAATATTAAAAATTCAAAATACTAATATTTATTGAATAAACATTACAAGAAAATGGCTAAATAGCAACCAATTTTAGAAACAAAAAGTAATTATTTACTATAATAATTAATTTAAATACCAATTTATAAACTAAAGATTATTTAGTGTACTATACCTGTTGACCGACCGGCGAGCCAAAACAAGCAACCGACCGGGCAGACACACCAATCAGGAAAGGTAGATATCATTAATGGTCAATTAATATGTTTAATGGTCATATTAAATGCGAATATATGTTGTTTATGACTGATTGACAGGTCATATTGGACAAGAGTATGATATTAATGGACAATTAGCAGGTACATTAGCAAGTATTATTAAATTTATTACCATATCAAATATGAATTAATGAGCTTAATTGCTATAAGCCCTATAAATATAGGGTTAATGCCCAAGTAAAGACATCTTAATCTATTATAATAATCCATTATAAATACAAATTTATAATTGATTTGTAAATTTGTCACTAACATTAGATGATCTTTAATTTACACACTAATTTTTTTTATGGTCAAAATCTTGATAACTAATGATAGAAACTAATTTAGTGATCAATTCACAAATCAATTATAATATTTTATTCATAACAAAACTATTTTAAATACGAATAATCTTTAATTCATAAAATTTGTCACTGCATTGACTAACTATTTTTAGTGTTTAAAATTAATTACTATTTGTACATTTTATTATGAAAATGCATTTTTCCCAGTAGTCAGGAGTAGAATGGGGATCTTTTAGCATATAATTGGAGTTCAAATCCTACGCTTCTACTTACGAGCCTAAAGGTCAAAATAGCAAATAAAAGAAGTGCCATTAGCAAAGGAGGTGCAAGCGGCCTTTTGGGAGGTGTCATTAGAAGTGAGCAAGCACATGGGTTTCCTTGAGGAAGAAGGAGATGAGGAGCGGATGGTTTAAAAACCAAGAATGGAGGTGCGCTTAGAAGAGCACATGGGCTGCATTGTGCACACGTTGGGTGTTTTACTATGCACCTCCAACATCTCATCCCACACCTCCAACTTTTTAGAAAATTTTATTTCTAACCTTAATAAATATTTTTTTTAATTTTTTTTCTTATTAAAGTAATGCTGCACCCTTTTAACATATTTTAATATCTCAAACAATAATGAATCCACGTTGTAGACTCAACTCAAGAGGTTTAATCATCAATATAATTATCGCATGAAACTTATTATCCAAAACCAGCTCACCTCTAAAGCTAAAACCATTATCCATTCCTACTCAGAGTTAGTGCTTACTTCTCCTGCTCCTCCTTAAGCTTTACATGCGAAGTACACATGTGTCACTTCACAACACTCTCCCAAAGAGCTTTCCTAGCGAGGTTCACCTCTGATACAACTACATTAAGCTCACCACTCCCTGTTGCTCTCCTAGAGACCATAGTTGGACTCCCCAAGGTTAGCTCTCAAAGCCTCCTCACCTTTTGTTAAGACATAAGCCTTCATTTCCTGTTGCTCTCCCAAAAACCATAATTAAAGTTCTTTGGGTCAACTCCCAAAGCTCCTTCAAGGTCAGCTTCTAGAACCCCCTCACCTCTAGCCAAGACACACTCTTCTCATCTGCACTGTCACATAACATATGTAGGAATTTCATTCGCAATAACACATATTCTTTTTTCATATTATCAAATAACCACATAACTTAAACTCAAATCATTACTACATAATATACAATTAATGTGACACTCAACGCCCATATCTTAGCACACAAATGTATTAACAACATTATTCTATAAATATAAATGAAACAATTATGAGTGACATGTATATTTAAATACAGACATTCAAATATTATATTTATTTATGGAAATTTTATTTATAATAAGTGATTTATTCTCACGTAACAATAATTGAATCATGCCGCAATTAAAATACACAACCACAATTACTTTTAAGATAAAACATTTAAAACTTGAAAAGACAAAAAAAAAACTATTTTAACTTTATCACGTAAAACATCATGAAAACACAATATCAATCCAAAACCACTACTAAGTTGAAAGAAAACCCAAAGTCACTAAATTTACTAAAACATTACTAAAACATTATACCTTAAAACTAACAATACAAAATAAAATATTACAATTTCACATGCTTCACTACATGAAAAATACCATACTCGTAACTTTGTTTTTACTGCCAAAAGCAAAAGCAAGAAGAGTTACTTTTCTTCTCTACCTAATTCTTAAATTTTGTACGATCATTCTTCATGTGTCCCATTTTTTACATAAAAAACACATGGACTCCTTCTTTATAACCACTTAGTAGACATATTTCTCTTATGATTAACTTGATTCTTTTTATTCTTAAGAGAAGTAGTCAAAGTTTACTATTTCACCTTCCTTCATTAGTAATTTCTCTTCTTTTTAAATACTCATAGTAAAAAAGTCTTTAATAGAGTACTTATCCTTACGTGTGTTTGTTAGCACGAAACTCTCACCGTAGCAAGTGAAAAAATATTATTCTTTTTTTAGAGACTTATACAACACTTGATAACTCTTACAAGGTTATTAGCAACTCTTCTATTCTTCAATTGCACCTCACATTATCATCTCAACCTCCAATTTCATAATCCATCATCTTTTCCAACCCAAAAGTAACAAAACCTCCATGAGCGAAAATGTAGACTCAAGGAAAAAAAACAAGAGATTTCCAACGTACCAAACAACCTTCAAAAATCTCTCCCAATAACCTTAAGCAATTTATACTACTTAAATTGTCTCTACTATTCAAGAAGACCCTTAGAAAAAATAAGAACGATTTTTCAATAATTTAAATCACTTAATTTTTTTAAAATAAAATTTTAATTTTATATTTTTTTGAAATTTTAGTAAATGCTATTTTCAAATAATGTTAGAGAGATGAGTATTATTTAATTAGAAAAATAAAGATACGGTTGGATATAAAGTTAACATAAAAAACTTATTGAGTGGATTTGAGAGGATTTAAAAGATAAATTTTTTTGTCGTTTATTTGAGTGAATTTGGAGGTAAATGAGAGTGAATTTGGAAATAAATTTTTTTAATTTGTCATGTCAATACAATTCTATACTAATTCTCACAAATTTTATTTTCAAATTCACTTTCATTTACCTCCAAATTCACTCAAATAAACGACAAAAAAATTTATTTTCAAATCCTCTCAAATCTCCTCAAATCCACTCCCTCAACTCCACTCAAAAGAACAAGGTCTTAGTTATAAAGAAAATTACATTATCGAATATAATCTTTTCAATTGTATCATCTTCGATTATATAATTTTAAATTCTCTAAGTTTGTATTCTTATCTATTTTGGTTGTTGATACATTCCAACAGTAAAAACAATTTAAAACTTTGTTTTTGATTATTTTAGATTATTTTTTTTTCAAACAAATACAAAATGTTTTATTTTCCCATTAAATTAAATTATAAAATATTTTACTTTTACAATTTATGAAAATCGTGTAAAATATTTTTTTAACAAGTAATATGTAAAAATTATATTATAATTTACTATAAACTCCATTTATTAAATGAAAAACTTTTCATATATCATTTAAAAACTAAATATGTTATAATTTAATTTAAAGTCATAATTATATACTAATTCAAAGGTAAAATACTATTTAACGTTCCACAGATAAACCTGTTTCTCTTTTTTAGCAAACGCAACGAACTCATTAGATGAAAAAGATGTTGAAGGGAAGTTTTAGTTTATTCGAAAACGTGAGGCAAAAGTGACACGTGCGCATGATGACGTAACGGCGTTGGCTCCAACAGACACCGAAGGGTCGCTCTCAGCTTAGTTGATTGATGTGCGGTGGCACAGAACTCTCGCCCTCACCCGAGGCGCCACGTGGCACCCTGTGGCTGTCACACACGTGGCATTCCCACGTACACCAGTCCTTTTGCATGTCCTTTTATTTTCTGACCCTTTTCTTATCCCTTTTCCTTTTCTATTTTAATCGAAATAAGCGCAACTTGACATGTGGGTCCCACCTCCATCATACCCTCTGTTTGGGACCATGTGACGTGTCGCCTCCTCTTTCTCTCCACCGCTTCTCCCGGTCACCCACCTCCACCACGCTCTGCATCCTTCGTTGACTTCTTTTTTTACGCTGCTTTCGGGTCTAGCACACTCTTCTTCTACTTTTCTTCCTCTAATCACATAAATTCTAGTTTCACAGTGATTATGTTTAATGAACAATACTCCCTTTATATTATCAATAAAGCAACACTTATTTCTATCTTATTTTAATTCAAAATATTATATTGACTAAGATTTGATAAAAAATATAAACGAAAATTTAGCAATAACTTATTTTGTAAATACGATACGAGAACCGAGTATCATTTTCCTAAAAATATAAAAATATGTATTTATTGATTAAAAATATAAGGACTGTAAATGTTTATTTAAAAATTAT